GATTGAAAGATAATACTAAAAGATGAGGAGTTCGATGGTAGGCGGGATAACAGATATAGCAAAGTTTAGGAAGTAGAATTGAAAGATAATAACAAAAATAAAAACGGTTGTAGGCGATAATATCAATAAAGTAAGGACAAATTTTGATTCAAATTTTTATTCATAACAAGCTTTTAAATTGCATGGATACACAAAAACATGGAAACTAAGAGAAGCTGTCAATTAAAAGCTTATCTTAAATTACTTGTTAACTTATAGTTCGAAAAAAGATTGATAGCAATTAAAACTTAAAAAATGTTTTAATGATATAGCAAAGTTGAGAAAGTAAGATAGAAAGATAGTCTTAGATAAACTAATATGTTAACTGGCAAGGGAAAGTCAGGAGAAAGTAAATATATGTAAATGAAGTAAAATATTTGAAGTATCCTGGCCGCCAGCTAGTGCCTGCCCTGCCTATCTAGGCCTGAATGATGGAAGAAAGGATGAGTGGATAAATTAATGGATGGATTTATGACTCATTCTAAATTATGACTCAAGGATTCAAAACGTTGAAAAAAGCATTTCCGGGTGTTTTAGTTTTATTCCCCCCCCCCCTTATCTTAAATTAAATAACATAATTTATTTTATCTGTTTATTGTTTATCTGTTTATCTGTTTATCTGTTTATCTGTTTATCTGTTCATCTGTTTATCTGTTTATCTGTTTATCTGTTTACATTCACTTTATTCTATCAAAGGTACTAATGCAAGTAAAGTTCTTTTAGAGGTGTACACATTTTTGGTACTGCAGTGTACTGTCTTTGGGCGGAAAGTAAACACAAGACGGATATTACAGCCTGACATGGAATCCATTTTCTCAAAAATAATCTATGAAATATTCTGGTCATAGAAAATTAATATGTGAATTTTCAAAATTGTCAAAATTAAATACTTTTTTCCTCCACGAATACTAAACAAACACTGATGCATCTATTCTTGATTACAAATTCCGCCCAAAGAGAACTGAGCTGAAAACTTTAGAATGAGATATCCTTAATCCCGATTGGTAAATTAATCTTGAGATTAATAACAAAGGGAGTACAAGCATTATTTAATCTGGAGATTAAGAAAAACAGTAGATTAAGCATTAATCCCGAAACCCACCATTCTAAAGTTTTCAGCTCTGGTTTTGATATGTACGCAAAGTTTACGCGACCGCAATTAACTTTCCTTGCATTAGTACCTTGATTCTATCTATCCATTTATCTATCTATCTATCTATGTACTTGTATCTAACCGTCTGAAAAGATTCAATTTTCTGCTTTTATTTCAAATTCAAGCTAACTCTAGCTAAAATATATTTTTTCATTAAAATTCTAAATATATCTTAGAAATCCGGGAACCTAGTTAAACATAGCCAAGTTCTCAGGACATGCGAGACAGATAGGTCAACAGCTAGCTAGGGCAGCTGTACAGGTCAACCTGCTGTTTCAGCTGTGGACGACAGCTGCCAGGTCGAGCTGACCTGCACACTACTTAGCTGATTTAAGATTAGGACTTTCCTTATAGGGACTGAGGACATAATTTCATAGAAAGAGGTTTGCATGTCCGATTCACAACGGATCCTTTTAAGCCTCTATCTAAGTAACAATGAAGAAGATATTTTTGGATTGAAAGTGTCAAAGAAATTGAGTCTTTGCAACAAATCCCAATTTTCTAATAAATATATATCTACAACCAAATTATGTAAACCTTTGGCATTTCAAACTTTGATTGTTTAATATAACAAAAGTCATAGTTTGAAATATTCAAGGTCTACAACATTGGGTTGTTAAGATATAGGGATATAAAAATCAGAGTTTGTGACAAAGACTCAATTCCTTTGTCACGATTTCTTTCAATGTCTCTGCAGAAAAACTCCATTGTATTTCGAGAAACCAAAATTGAAAATAAACAGTTTTCAGCCAGAAATATATGGATATCTCATTCATTCTTGATCAGACAAAGGTTTCATATTCATATTCATATTTTTATTAAACTACAAAGCACAAGATAATACAAATAAAAAATCACAATTTACTATGTAGTTTGGACCCAGAGTAGGTTGTTTTAGTTGGTTGGCCCACTACAAACGAATGAGAATTGCAAATAAAAACAATGTACATTTTAAACATAAAACTGATGATAAATCATAAAAAAAGGTAAGGAGGAGGTGAGGGAGTATAAGGAAAAGGGAGGATACTCAGCGTAAGGGTTGGAAAAGAGGGTAACATATGTTATTAAAATCATGTTTTTGAATTACAGGGTGAAGAAGATAGTATCCACATGATACACAGTTTTTTTACAGATATAACTTACCTTGGCGACTTTTCTTTTAAACGATTTTGCAGATTTTATAGTTTCTTTCAGCTCTAATTCAATCGAATTCCATATTTTTAGAAATAAAGCAGAGGGAAAACATTCTAGAGTTTTAAAGAGAACCCGTTCAAGTTTGTATGATTATGTTCTATTTGGTTGAGCTAAAGAATTAAACATATCATGGAAGGAAGCATTTATGCATACAGGTATCCTTGTGATTCGGTGCACGGAAATTAGAAATAGAGCGAGAATTTATCTATTAAAGACAGACAAACTGTAACATTTTCTTCATTGTAGATCCAATAGAGGGTTAAAGGGCAACGGTGTGAATGGGAATATAGCTCTTTAAATTTAGGGTAACTTGAAATTACGTGGACAGTTTTTTTTAACGAATTCCTTGTCTTCAAATCTTTGTCAAAATGAGAATTATACCAACAGCTTTTATTTGAAATTCTGTGAATTATACCAACAGCTTTTCTTTGGAAAACTTTCAGTTTTTTAAATCTGTTTAAACTTTTAAAGGTTCTACACTCAAAATCAATATTAAATCGTTTAAACGACAAAGGAACTGCAAGTCTTTTGCCACAAACTCAAATTTTCTAATCCCTATATTTGTGGAACCTTGATTTTTCTAACTATAAGATTATTTAATCTTACAGAATTCATAGTTTAAAATATTAAGGATATATTATTATATATAATATTGGGTTATAGGTAGTACAAATAAAGTGATTGGGACATCAGAGTTTGATGCAAAGGAATTTACACATTTACATATATATGTATATTATTATATATAATATTGGGTTATAGGTAGTACAAATAAAGTGATTGGGACATCAGAGTTTGATGCAAAGGAATTTTTGCGGGAAAATTAAACTTTGCCACTTTTCTCTTTGTCTGGGGGGGGGGGACAGGGTGCCCCTGGAAAAAATTCTAAGATGTGCAACACCTTTTATAGGAAGCATTAGGGTAAAACTAGCTCAAATACGAAATTTTAGCATGTTAAAATAATTTTCCTAAATGGCCATTTTGCTGATTTTCCCGTCATTTTTGACCTTTTTTTTTAACCATTCTCGGCTAAACAGGGTAAAATCTGTCAATTTTTAAGAGAATTTCAAGAGTGATAAAATTTTGGAAATCATTTAATTTGGTTATGGTGATATTTGACAATTTTATTGCAAAGTTTTGTTTTATGATGGTCAAATATTTAGGAAAAGGTGAAAAATTGCGTCTTATTTACAGCTTTTGTCACTGTCAGCTCCATCTGGGAGTGGTTAAAGTAAATGTTTTTTTTTCAAACTCAACGCCATAATATTTGAAAATTTGTAAAAAAAATAGTTTTGATAAAAGATGCCCGGCCTTGACTTAAATAAAGGGAGGGTCATTTAAGTTTACGATGACAGTCCCTTTAAGTCTATATTTGGAACGCTGGATTCATGACAACTTTTATCAATACATATTTATAAAAACTACCAGGTTCACTTACTAAGAAATCTCCTGATTAAGACTATTTATGACGTATATCTAGCAAGAAAAGAGTGAGAAAGGTGTCTGTTTAATGTTCATATTTGAGGCAGAAGGAAGGGAGAACATGTTGTATCTGTCCCGGTAATATTCGCGAATATGCAATTTTTTCTGCTCAGTTTCATCGTTTTCAAAACATTGTTTACTATGTTAACTGGATTTATAACAAGAATGTATTATTTGTCATATTTGAATGCAGCAAATTTAGAGAGGGTGGGGGAACATTTGCAACCCCCCACCCCTGGCCACAAATGTAAAATGGATTTCAAGCTTTGATCCAGAGTTAGAGTTCAATTATAATTCTACTTTAATTAACCAGCTATTGATAAGAACAAAAACGTTTTGAATTTCTAAATTGTAATAAAATAATTTTTTTTTCATTCTTGCGCTAAAAAATAACACTCGAAGTGTTACGAGGTAACAAAGTTGTACCAGTAATGTCGCATAAATTTTACCTTTTTGTAAAGTTGAGTGTGCCCTGCATAAACTCAAATATCTACAATGTAATGAACGCTTTATCTAGATACAGTTTTCTGCAATCAACCTTTTCTGGTTAGACTGGTCAGGGCTAAACATTATTTTAGTTTTTTAGAGCATTATTGTTGCATGTTTTAAAAATACTCCCTTTCTTTTCTTCCCTCACGAGCTAGTGTATAAACAAAGGAAAGGAAAATGTAAGGATCCAGGGCTCTAAACGTTTTAATAGGTTATTCAACAGTAAAAACAGTAAAACACAAAAATATAATATATTCTATGTTGTATGAACTAAGGTTACCAAACAGATGACTGCGTTAAAAGATAATGAAACACAAATAATAAAACTTAATTGCTTTCTGCTAAATGTTTCCTTCTGATTTTGGGTAACATTTGTTGTAGCATTTACTAAAATATCTGTAGAAAACTAAAATATCCTAAACATGAAACAAATGTCTCAGAAATAGATCAAACAATTTACAAAATATAAAAAAGAATATTTTTTATATTTTGCATATATGAGGGGGTGGGGGGATGACACATCTCCATCGAGTAGACATGAGAAAGTAAAACTGTCCCTGTCCTAGAGTCTGAATATAAGATGACCGGGCTGGACTGTAGCTAAATACCTGGGAGCACTAGTGCTGCCACCTGCCTCGTATATAAAGCTGGACGGTCAGCCCAATTCCTCACTTCGGTCCGGTCTTCAAGCAGAGCAACGTCTGTAGTGAGAGCAGAGGAATAATCATGGCAGTAAGTGAATTTCAGTGATTACGCCATAATAACGGGGAAATTAATTATTTGGTGCGAGAAAAAATTAATGGTTCGCATTATTGATATTTAATATTATTTTGGAAAATAGGGTGGCTAAAGTTTGAAATATTCGGTTATTTTTTTAATGTTGGGGGGGGGGCCACCATCTTGGATTTACAGTTTACTAATTCAAAACTTTTTTTCAGCACGATTTGAACAACAAGGATATTGAGCGTAAGTATAATCATTTAAATTATAATTTTCTCACATTTATTATTCTTGCAGGAGCTTGGTCTTAAGAAAAAGGAAATCGATGGTATGTCACAAAAAAATCCTTTGATCCTTTTAAACATTGCAACCCATTTAAAAATAACCAAAATCTATATCCATATTAATCCGCTGGAATAAGCATGGTTCATTATTTTCCAACCCATCCTGTATACCTACCTAAACTATACCTACAAACCTATGTTGTATTGTATCCCTAGTTTTAAAATTGTATCTACAAAAATCAACTTTTTTCATATATTTCATAATTAGATGTTTTAATAATTGTATGAAACAAGTTGACAATAACCTTCGATAATATATATGACTAAAATGGCATGAAGATTTTAAGATAAAAATTATTTTTGTGTTAATGTAATTTGCACGATTTTTGTTCAAACCTATTGAATATTGATGTAAAAAAACCGCATGTATCTATTTAGTTTGATACCCTGTTAGCTTGTTTGCAAAGTAATTGTATTTATAATTCTGAAATTTCCAAAAAGAAATAATTTAATTCTTCAAAAATCAGAAAATGAAATATTTTGGAAATTTCCTAAGTAACGGCCAGATCTTGATAAATAGAAAGGGCAGTGTTAATACTGATAATGAAAAGATTAGATTTTAATTATTTCTGGACATGGTTTAAACATTTGGGCAATTATATCAAAGGTCTGGTTGATGCTTCTTATGAAAATGCTGTTCTTGGAAGAAGTAAATATAAATGTTCTATTTTTAGCCATCGAATTCGCATTCGATGTGTATGACTTCAAGGGAGATGGCAAGGTCGATGCCTTTTACACTGGTGACCTTATGAGGGCCTGCAACATCAACCCCACCCTCAAGACCATTGCTGAGATCGGAGGACAGACTGAGAAGGGAAAGAAGGTTCTGACCAAGGCTGAATGCTTCCCCATTTACAAGGCCGCCAAGGAGTCCAAGGATCAGGGTGGATTCCACGACTTCGTTGAGATCCTGAAGCTGTACGACAAAAATAACGACGACACCATGCTTGGACACGAGCTGTTCCGTCTCCTGACCAACCTCGGAGAGAAGCTGACCAAGGAGGAGGCCAAGTCTCTGATGAAGGAGCTCTGCGAGCCTGAAGATGATGAAGGATTTATGCCCTTCAAACGTAAGTTTCTTAACAGAATCAAAGCCTCACAAATATTCAGACAACTTTCATTATTTTTCTTTAGATATTAGGGATCAATTTTTTGATCACTTTGCATGATAAGCATCAGTGAATGAAGAATCAAATTTTGATAGAAATTTGCAAGAATATTTTAGGAAATTTTTAAAATAATGGAATGCAACATTTTTAGCCTTCCTGGAGAGAATGTGTGCCGCTGAGAAGTAAATTCTAGGGAACTACTTTTTATCAACAAATTAAGTAAGCACGAAAACCCCTGCACCCCAATACCCTCCTTTATTCTAAATTGAACTCTACTTTTCTATTTCTGTTAAAAACTTTAATTTTCATGAAGAATCATTTTTAATAGAATAAAATATTCAAGAAATACCTACTAACATACCAAGTTTGCTAATAACAATCCTTAAAATATAAATTCTACAAATTCCAAAAGTTTTAATTTTCAGCATTCTTGGAGCGTCTGATGACACCATAAGGAAGTAGACTCTATGAGCATACATTCCCCCGACCGAGGTCGATCTTTCATTTTGTAATGATCGATTCTATTGTAAATAATTCGCATAACTTGGTTGGAACACCACGTGTAAAGCGGGAAGAATCGCCATCTTGAATCCCCGCCTAAACATCCTGGCACATGCACGTGGTGCCCCAACCTTGCCGCGTAATATTATCTGGACTCTCTCACTACTGCCTCAAAAAATGTTCGGCCATTGGTCAAAGTTATAGAAATATCCGTCAAATATACAAAATTGTAAATTATATTGTTCTTGTGATAGTTTTCGTATTTATGTTTATTATTTTGTAATAACAGCAACTTAGATATAGATTATATCGACAACATGTAGACCATAAAAAATTTATTTTTGTAAACCTCTCTGCTCAGGAACAGCATCAAGATCTTGCCGTTTCTGAATATTGTTGGAAAATCACCATGTCTTGTTTACCACCATTGATTACTAGGTTTTTATACTATGTACACCTTCAGCTTGTAAATATATTATGTAATCCAACATTAGTTTATTACAATATCCTTCCAAGCTACTGCAAGATTACAAAAAACAAAAATTTAAAAAAAAACGAATTTTGATTTGAAAAATCTTTCCTTAAATTCAAGCTCTTCTGTAGGTGCTAAGTTTGCCTTCGACATCTATGACTTCGAGGGTAAGTCTCGAATGGATCTATTCTACCTTGGAGACTGCTTGAGAGGTCTGAACCTGAACCCAACTCTCAAGATGATTGATAAACTTGGAGGAACTAAGAAGAAGGGAGAAGCATTCTTGAAACTGGATGAGGTAGACATCAACAGAGAATAGAATAGAATAGAATAGAATCTAGCACAATTTAGGTTTGTTTCAGTGAAATATGTTCATTGAAACCAATAAATCATGAACTTTTAGATTTAGATATATAATTACATGTGTTAAATGCTGTGTCTTCAAGACTTGAACAGTATAATTTGACTAAACAGAACCAGAGATTAAAAATGTTACAATAGAGTAATATAGAAATTATACAGAACCATCGTAAAGCATTAAATTGTTAGTTTAATTGGTCCAAATAATTTTACTCTTTTCATCAGGTTAAATCAGGTTTATTATGGATTATTAAGAATTCAAATCAGTTCAATATTATCCTTAATACAAATTGTCCAGACCTGCAGAATCCATGGACATTCATTCTTGAACAAAAGCAATCTATCTTTTCCCGTGCCAAAGTTTAAAATCCTTTAAAAAATCGTTAAATACGAAAATTTCATTTGTTTGCTGAAAAAGGCCTGCTGAGTGCTGATTTTACTTTTTGGCTTAGGTGTCCTTGCTATCGGCTTTCTTATTTTCAATATGTGGACTAAAGTAAATACATCCCCTCCTTCTAGTTTACCTTGAAACTCCCTCCCCCCTTTCACCACCTTTCCTCAGGCCCAAATCTCCTAATGAGCATATATTCAATATCATATTTCACATATTATTTTTTATTTCTTATTTATGAGTTCAATCTTTTACAAAAGAATTTAGTCTTTGATACAAATTAAACTTTCTAATCCCTATATCTTGGCAACCTGATGGTGTACATCTTTGCAATGATATAGGAATTTTAACATCAGAGTTTTTGACAAGATTCAATTCCTGTATTCGATCTGTTTGTACTTAATCCATTTTCTCTTCTTTTCGCCCTTTTCTTAAAATATTATTAATTCCATTGTTATACTTAAAGGGAAGGTAACCTTATTTTCTAGTTACCCTCTCTCTAAAGATGGCAATGCCCGATTCAGAATGGTGCGCTTGAAACCTTTCTTAGGTCAATAATGTGGAAGATGTTTTTTTTTTCTATGTTTAAAAAAATCAGTTTTCAAAATTATAAAAATTGATCTCGGTGTTTTTACGACTGCATCTTTAAAAGCTTGGCTCTTTAAGTTTTAAAACTTTATATTACAAAATGCTTATCAGATTCTAAATATATCAGATTCTAGATATATCAGATTCTAGTAATTTGAGAGATATCAGATTTTAGATATTTCGCTTTAAAAAAAACTTTCAGTGGGGCCTTTAAAACTTTGGAATAGGAAGAAGTCAAAAGTTATAAATAGTCTAATAAACATGAGACACAGAAAATGTGCAATATACACAATGCAATCCGTTGATTTTCCAGCAACTAATAAAGGAATTGAGTCTTTGCCACAAACTCTAATTTTCTAATCTCTTTATCTTTGCCACCTAATGAGGTTGACTTTAGAATTTTTAAACTGTGAATTTTTTTAAGATTAAATAATCTAAGTTTGAAATATTAAAGGTTTACACCTTCTGGTTACAAAGACACAGGAATACCTTTATTTGCTCAATAACAGAATCAAATAAATTAAAAAGTAAGCCATCTTAGTTTATCTTGGTTTCGTCTTAATATTCCATTGTGTAGTGGGGACCACTGTATGTAATATAGTGTTTGTAGAATTTTCCGTTAAACAATGTTTGAAAAGTGTTTTTAATAAAATTGTGCGAGGACTAAAATCACCTTCTTCGTGTCCCAACAATATTCAAATATTCATAGTTCTTCCCAATCTACAGCGAGGTCAAGAAGTCCAAGGACACCGGCTCCTACGAGGACTTTGTTGAATGCTTAAAGCTGTACGACAAAATGGAGAACGGAACCATGATGTTGGGTGAATTGGAACACATCCTTCTCTCCCTCGGAGAGAAGCTTGAGAGAGAGGAGGTTGATATCCTGGTTAAAGAATGCTGCGATCCTGAAGACGATGATGGTTTCATCCCTTATGAACGTAAGTTGACCCATTTCTAAATAATTAAATAGTGTTTGTTTAAATTTTACAAATTGTCAGCTATCTTTGTTTTTCAGCTTTCCTGAAGCGAGTGTGTGCTGGTCCCCATCCTGAGATGTATGAGGATTGGTAATCTGCCAACATTTACATCAGCGCCAAAAAAACTTTGAAATTCCCGCCATATTCCGAATTTCCCGCCAAACATAGAGCGCCAAGATTTTTTTCATCCTCCCTTTTGTTCCTATATGCCTCCTCCCAACCTAAAGACAGACATCGTCATGACACCATCCGGAAAACGCTCCAAAGTTGTATTGAACAGCTGGCTGTTTTGCGTGTATGCATTTTTCACCATCATTAATTCATTTCAAGACCAAAATGAAAAGAAGGGCCACCGAAGTCGCCAAAAAAACTTGTTGAAATTTTGATAAATTGGGTTCCTGTATATATAAAGTAACATCTGTAACATCTTGTTGATAATTAAATATTTTTGCAATTTCTCGTATTGTATTATTTATCTATATGTTTATCCATCACGTTTAGGTATAGCATGGCTGTGCTTTAATATATCTATAGTTCTGACTCTTGTTTAGTTAATATTTTATTCATTTTTCCTTCTTCTCTTCTTCTTTCTGATAATTCATCCTTCTACCAAATAAAACAGATTGAAAAGGACTTAAGTTCTATGTATTTTTATTCAAACAATTAGAGAGAGAGAGAAAGAGAGAAAGAAAGAGAGAGAGAGAATGAGAGAAAGAGAGATAGTGAGAATATATCTAGAAAGTCCAAAACTAAATTAAGATTCATGGAATTTCAGGAGACTGAGGTCAAAACTGCAAATATCCCATGCATTTCAAAATTGGGATGTCAAATTCACAACACTAACCTTTAATCCTGTCTGTTCATTAATAATTAAGGTTTCTTTCTTAGTTTTAGCCGAGATATCGAGAAATTAAAACTGCTCACATACTCTTAAACATTAAGTTATAAAGGAATTTATAGTTTATTTATCAATTTGATCTTACACAATTCATAGTTTGAAATATCTAAGGTTGGGTTGCAAAGAAAGGGATTGGAAAATCAGAGTTTGTGGCAAAGACTTAATTCCTGTCAGGAATTAAATATTGTTATGTCAAAACTTAACAAGTATCGGAAGGATGGACCGGACAAAACCACATTTAATACGAAATTTACTTGTAATTGAACCTTGTGCGCAAATAAATATTTTTTTAAATCGCACATTTACACATTTCATTAGATAGAAAAATTGAATATTATGATATGGTTAATTTGTATTTCAAACAAATTCCTCTATGTACTGTGGAGGGATAGTGAACCTAGATGTTATTATACGAAGATCAAAGTATTTATGAAAAAAGGGAAGGTTTAAACTCCGACTTTATGGTAAAGCTAAGAAGGAATAAAAAAGATTTTTGTTTGTTTGTATTTTTATGTAATTTTATCTCCTTGCTTACATGCTCCGAATAGTTCCATTGTAATTCTATTTAATGGAAATCAATCAAAAATATATTAAAGGTTATGAATTAGAAAGATTGCGCTATACAAGGAGAAAGGTTAGAGTATAAAACGCTGATAAACATTTTGTACAGGGAAACTGTTAGACGCTGGAAATAATTGAATTACTACAAATAGCGTAAAACCTTTTTAAAGTCTAAAAACATTGAAGTTTCTGTAAAACATATCTGGCTATTGCCCATGCCCTAACTACAAAGTATAAAGATTGGGCACACAGCTCCCTGAATTACTAGAAATTTAAAAATTGGGCACACAGCTCCCTGAATTACTAGAAATTTAAAGATTGGGCACACAGCTCCCTGAATTACTAGAAATTTAAAGGTTAGGCACACAGCTCCCTGAATTATATTATAAGTTTAAAGATTGGGCACACAGCTCCCTGAATTATTATAAGTTTACAGATGAGGCACACAGCTCCTTGAATTACTACTAGAGGTTTAAAGATTGGGCACACAGCTTCCTGAATTGTTATAAGTTTTAAGATGGGGCACGCAGATCCCTGAATTACTAGATTGAGCACAAAAGGCTGGTAAACTGCCAACGCTATCAATACAGGCAGGTCAACTCAACTCAGGGTCAGCTACACATTTACATATATATGTATATTATTATATATATATATTATCATTATTGTAGGCCGGTCAGGAGAGAGTAAAGCTAAACAAGATGCATGTTGCTGCACCTAGAGAGAAAGGGGGAGGGAATGAAGTTATATTTATCCTGTATCATTAAACATAAACATTTTTAAAACAGTTTTAGAATAGAATTACGTTTAGAGATGCAGGGTGTCCCAAAAAACGATCTTTAAGACATGGTAGCACTTACCAATCACCATGGTTTAATTTTAATTTTAAATCTTTGTGACATTTCCAATCGATTGAAAACAATAAGAGGTTCGTAGCACTAAAATAAAGGAAGTATTGACCATTTAAAGTTTGCCATTTTGGCAAAGTATAGAGACCTGCCCCCCCCCCCTGTGCACATTATTTAATATATTTAATGGACAACAACAAGATTTGTGTTTTTATTTTGTAGAAGTGGATTCAAATTTTTGAAAGAAAATTAATTTATTTTCTGTGAAGAAAACTATATAGTTTAGTATCAACATTCTTACAGAACTTATTTCCAGAATATACAGGGTTACTCACAAAGTCTGAGACTCATATGAAGACCTGAAGTTAAATTTAATCATGTGCCGTCATTAACATGTGTAAAGCTGGAGGGAACCTCAAATAAACATGTGTAAACTGCAGGGAACCTCAAATAAACATGTGTAAAGCTGCAGGGAACCTCAAATAAACATGTGTAAAGCTGCAGGGAACCTCAAATAAACATGTGTAAACTGCAGGGAACCTCAAATAAACATGTGTAAAGATGCAGGAAACCTCAAATAAACGTGTGTAAAGCTGCAGGGAACCTCAAATAAACATGTGTAAAGCTGCAGGGAACCTCAAATAAACATGTGTAAAGCTGCAGGGAACCTCAAATAAACATTTGTAAAGCTAAAGGGAACCTTAAATAAACATGTGTAAAGATGCAGGAAACCTCAAATAACCATGTGTAAAGCAGCAGGGAACCTCAAATAAACATATGTAAAGCTGCAGGGAACCTCAAATAAACAAATGTAAACTGCAGGGAACCTTAAATAAACATGTGTAAAGCTGCAGGGAACCTCAAATAAACATGTGTAAAGCTGCAGGGAACCTCCAATAAACATATGTAAAGCAGCAGTGAACCTCAAATAAACATGTGTAAAGCAGCAGGGAACCTCAAATAACCATGTGTAAAGCAGCAGTGAACCTCAAATAAACATATGTAAATTTGCAGGGAACCTCGAATAAACATGTGTAAAGCAGAAGGGAACCTCAAAATAACACGTGGAAAGATGCAGGGAACCTCAAATAAACATATGTAAAGCTGCAGGGATCGAACATCAAATAACCATGTGTAAAGCAGCAGTGAACCTCAAATAAACATGTGTAAAGCTACAGGGAACCTCAAATAACCATTCAGAAAAACATCCAATAAGTCGTCTCTGAAGTCTCATCCTTTGTGAGTAACCCTACAATCAAGATATTTCAAATTGGATGTTTATAACAACAAATACAACCTCAAAGGAATATTTTCAAAAAAAAAACATAAAAGACATAATCGAATTCAAGCTAGTTAAAAATCAAATTCAAGCTAGAATCTTTAGTTTAAAATTATTTGATAAATTTCTATCAATTCTTTCAATGGATAATATGTTTCAATTTACGGCCTATAGACGTGGTGTAGCTCTAGAACAAATTGGTTTAAATCACCATCTGAACAACTTTAATAGTTTTGTTAATGAGGAAAATTAATTGAAAACAAAGAGATTATTTTGAAATAAAAAAGAGGATGTAGTTTTTAAAATTTAAAAGCAAAAAAGATAATTTCAAAAAAATGCCTGTAGAAGCTGGACAGAGGGTGGCCTGGGATCAAACTTACTTTGAAGAAAATTTAGTAAATATACAATAAGTTGTACAATAATATACAATTAGTTGTACAATAATATACAATAATATACAATAAGTTGTACAATAATATACAATTAGTTGTACAATAATATACAATTAGTTGTACAATAATATGCAATTAGTTGTACAATAATATGCAATTAGTTTTACAATAATATGCAATTAGTTGTACAACTTTGGTTTTCTTGAAACCTCATGTTATCGTAACATTAAATGTTAATAAAAAAACTAATAAAAAGTGACCATCAAAGTGAGTAATTATCTGTAACGCCTAATTTAGGTTTTTTTTATCAATTGATCCTCCTGGCAATGTCCATCCAGGTTTCTAGATAGGTGGAACCAGGCTTCGCTGCCTACCTTACACCTAATTAATGTTTCATGTTTATAGTTTGATTTGTATTATTTTCATAAAGAGAAACTTGCCAAGAAAAGAATATTAATGAAAAAGACACAAAGGATCGAGTTTTTAGAAAACTTATATAAAAATTAATCAAACAACATCTGTATTCAATATGTTTGGATTACTAGATTTTTATTGTTCATGCATCAAATATTCTTTTCAAATAAAACAATCTTTCAGAGACATATCACGTTGGTTCGCCTGCTCCTATGTAGTTAGTGATATTAATCATATGGTTTGTTTTAACGATCCAAAAGATAAATTAATAAATTATAAATAATAAATTATAAAGATAATTTTTTCATTTTTTTATTAAGACTAAGAAAATCAACAAGATCAAAGATTAAGGTCATCTTTTCACGGAGGGTCACTTGAAATTACGCTTACTTTAATGAAAAAATCATTGTTTTAATTGCTTTTGATCAGACGATTTGATAAAATTTTAAATTGCATGTTATATGATTGAAAATATTATACAGCTATAAGATTTAAAATCATTTTCAAAAATATTAAAAATTTCAAAATATAAAATGTTAAAAACCCTTTTTTATTGTTTTTGGTGAGCTTTTGTGCACTTTCTCAACAAACTTGCAAGCTAAAAAAAAAGAAAAGCGTTTAAAATTAAATTTCCTTCCCTTTCCATACCAACACCAGATTAAGCTGAACTGTGGGTGTAAACAGACATACTGAGAAGAATTTTGTGCCACTAAGAACCCTTAATAAACATTTGGATTGAACACACTACACAGAATATTTAATCGGGGTTTAATCTTTTGTTTTTTTTTGACCAATTTGATTCTGAATGGTTATACGGATCCATTGTTCTATTGTACTACATCAATATCGGTAAAGGAATTGAGTCTTAGCCACAATTTAAAATTTTATAATTCCTATATTTTTCAAACCTGATGGGTTGAACTTTTGATATTTCAAACTAAAACTATTTGATCTATAACAGCATTCATAGTTTAAAATATCTAAGGTCTTGGATATTGGTTTGCAACGATGTAGCTAGGGTTAAACAAATCAGAGTTTGTTGCTAAGACAATTAATTCCTTGATTTAAAGTTTGCTTCAGTGTGGTTAATTATGACTGTCAGTATTGCAATGTGACCAGAAATCAGAACTTTTATTTAACAGTAAATTTTCCGGCAAGATATTAATTTATGAGAAACTAGCTTGGGTACCCAGCGTTGCCCAGGCCGGGTAGTCATAGTTAGTCCCACTGTTAACCCGCGATTTGTCGTAAATAAAGACCCACTCAACTTATAATCTCAAAAACAATGCTAAGAACATTCCCGTGGTTTCCCCAAGGTCCCCAATCCAAATTTGAGGCAAATAGGTCCAGAGGTTCCTGAGTTATGTTCGGAAAAACAAAGATTACACAACTGATGACAAGTGTATTATAAGAGATGAAATTATGAAAGAGTGAGTCTCTGCAGAGATAACTTTTTTTGAGGGATAAAGCATTTTTCCTCTAATCCAAAAGTGCCCACGTTGGATATCAAGATCAAAGGTTCAAGATTTTTTTATTTTTCCCAAAAAGATCCAACCTCAGATGAGGAATAAATATTGTTAAAAAATTGTGATTTGTTGTTTCTTATTCGATTCAAAAATGGCTAAATGGTTGTTCACACCTTTGAAAAAGAAGGGCAGTTAAAAAATAGAAATATACTTTTCTAAATATAGATTTTCCCATGTTCCGACCAACTTTTCTTTAACAATGGGATTTAAGATCAGAGGAAAAAGAAATATATCTAAAAGTATAAAAAAGTAAATTGAGTAAAGCATTAGTAAAGGTCATATAATTTTCTTAAATGATGGAAATTTTTTCTCTTTTCATCTGTACTCTTCATTTCTTTCAAGTTTTTAATGTTTGCTTTGCAATCCTATCTGCCAAAGAAGATATGGATTAAAAAATAAATGATGATAACTACTTTGCAAATTGTTTAAAGCCCGTAATGCCTATTTAAATGACTTCTACTTAATTATTAAATCCAATCTCAGTTCTCTTCAATCTTTAAAATAAAATGTTAGATATAGTTGCACGTTTTATATTTATCTATCTCCTCGGTTACACAAATATTCAATAATTAGCGAGAAATGCGCACACAGCACAGTATAGCTCCGTGTATTTATAGAACTGTCTTCTCTCCAACAGCCTTCAGCCAGACCATTACGCGCAGAATACCACGCATCCTTTCCTCACAGATGGTAAAGGCTGATTGATTGATTGGTAAGGAAATGATGACATGTCTTCTTGTCCAAGATGTTACGGACTATTGGCTGGAAGAAGGGGGGTAGAAGGCATTTCTATGCAGTTTGAAATGTAGAAAAATAAAGAATTCCAAAATTTTGTTTTGATTTTTGAGGTGTTCAGTCATCGTCGGGAATATTTGATGGTAATTTGGATTCTTTTTCCCCGGTTCTTTGATGGTACAAGAGAGGCAAATGCTTCGGCTCAATATGGACCCTCCTCAGATTTGTTATCACATTCGAGTCCATTTAGTATTTGTTGATGGTCACAAATTAAAATTCTGATGGTAAATTATGTAGTTTGGCTTTTAGCGCCTAGATGGCAGTGTCCATGTTGAATAAATTTCAAGCACATGTTCTGTTCTGGCAGCATTTAAGATTCCAGACTCAATGGTTGATATTCTATGGTTCAGCAGGTGGAATTATGCCTTACCGCACAGTCTGTCAACGAAGGGAGTGTAGGGGAACATACCGTCCTCATCCTCAGGGTCGCAGAGCTCAGCGAGCAGCTTCTGGACATCATCCTTGGGGATCTCATCTCCAAGATTGGAAAGAAGATTCTCAAGCTCAGCCAACATCATGGTTCCGTTGTTATTTTTGTCATAAAGTCTCAACAGCTCAATGAAGTCGTGGTAGTTTCCAGAGGACTCGGGGGTTTTGGCAGCTGTTTGGACTTTAGTAACAATATCATCGAACTTGGCAAACTTCTTGCCTTCCTCATCAGTCTGTCCGAGTCCAACACACACCTTAAATATCCAGTATTGTATGAGCTGACCAAATTGGGTTGTATCTATCGTTGTTTACCTTCTTTGTGGTGTTCATGCCAAGGGCGTACATGACGTCACCGAGGAAGAAAAGGTCAAGCTCACCCTTGCCATCCCAGTCATAGATGTCACAGATCTTCTTAATAGCTGAAACAACACTTATCAACTAATTGAACCAAACAAGCATAAAATTGTTTGAGATAAATGTCATGTTTGTTAAATCCCCCTCCTTCTTCTCTAGCTCAAAATATCTCCTAACACCGACTATTTCCTATTCCCCTATTCTTTAGAAAGGAACTCAGATTCTGAATTCTCTAAATATTTGGGTTCCGGTCCGGGGTAGTGCAGGGGAATTTACAGGACTTTCTTTTTTCAAAAATAGATTTTCAAGATATCCTTGATGGAGGGAAACAAAAGATTTCATTAAAAACACTGTTTTAAATATTTGAACAAAAAATTTAAAAATGTCAATGTAGCACTTTCTGTGAAAAAAATTTGCACTTTCCTTAAAAAAGTTTCATATTTGAAGGGTCATAATAACTAAAAACTTGATATTAAGTAAACAATTCGTCTTGGTTAAATTAGTCAGAAAATTTTGAAGATACAAATATATCAAATACATGATGCAGAGAAACCTTTTCAGTCCAATAACGAGTGTATTGTGGTGGAAAATTTGATGAAAATTTGATGAAACATGAAAAATATTTGAATTTAAAAGTTACAGATTTTCAAATGGAATATTGAGATTGTAATTCCAATCTAAGGAATTGAGTCTTTGCCACAAAATCAAATTTTCTAATTCCTATATTTTTATAACCTGGTGGTTTGGACCTTTTATATTTAAACTCAGATTATTTGATCCAACAGAATTCAAAGTCTGAAATATCTAAGGTCTACGATATTTTGTTGCAAAGATATAAGGATTAAAAAAATCAGAGTTTGTGGCAAAAACTAAATCCATTTCAAAGTATTTTTAAACAAGTATTATCCAAATATAAAATCCAGATTAAAAAAAAAACGAAAAATTCAACTCACCGTCAGCATCAGCCTGAAACAAAAATAAATTATTAGAAAAATTAAAACATTTTATACTTTACTAAAAAGATATAAATTGAAATGTTTTCAATTCTTAATTCTTACAGTAAACTTTGGTTGGCAGTGAATGGCATATCACTTTGTAAAATTAATTAAAAGAAAAAAATGTATTAAATTCAAATTAGTTCTTACCATTTTGTCAGTTATTTTTATTTGCCTCTCTTGACTTGACTGGAGGAGGAGCCGAAGTGACTACCCATTGTTTCCCACCTCACTATATATACCAGGGTGGGGGCGCCACTAGTTCACCTAGAACAATATCTCACAGAAAGCTTTGAAAAAATGGCGCCAAAAATTAAGAAATCCGCAAAACAGCCCATTTAAACTCCAAACCATCGATTATCCCCGATTACAATGTTGTATAAGAGATCTACAGAGTTAAGTTTGGATTAAAAATATTGATAATTCAGCAATTAATTTAGCTGATTTTACAAAAATAAATATCGGGCTGGGGTCCTGCATTCCAGGTAAGACGGGCTGGCCGGGCCGGCTACAAGGCTGACCCATCAAGAGGCCACAAACTTGAAGTTGGCTTGCTTCTAGTTTATTACTCATTCCTTGCTTCAATACGCTACACTATAATACTATATAACAGACAGACACATAAAAACACAGACAAACATTCAAATACTAACACAGTATGAAAAAAGTTGCGTGGATTACAAAACAATATCAAAAAATTTACTGGTTGAGGTTAAATGTTCAAAATTCCCTTTCTCTGGATTTGCCAAAAAAATTCTAGACACACTTTTAATGCAAAAATAAGGTAGTTTTACAATTTTTCTTTAGAATCTTTATAAATGCCAATGTCTTTCAATTATTACTTATAAGTTATATCTTGATTGAAAACCAATATTAGAATTTAGATAAAATAAAATCATATTTACAATAATATACAAGTTTAGATATTTGACTATAACTTGATAAATCATGGCTTAGCTAGTTCAACCAGCTTGCTGAACTACTCTTGACAAGATCACCCAGGCCCGTAGCCAGGGAATGCACCCCCCTTTCCCCTAAAATGGGGTACAACAACGAATTTGCACCCCCTTCCCTTTTAAATAATAAGTGCACCCCCTTTGGAAAAATCCTGCTAACGGGCCTGAGCTCAAATGACGTAACCAGCTTAAACAAATCTTTCTCAGGATTAAAATATCTTAATTAACTTTAAATGGTTTCATGAGTTATGTACATATACATACACATAAATTTCACTAAAAGGGGATCATTCATTTGCCGTACCGTCCCGTTTAGCCTCATACCGTCTGTATTTGTACTGTACAGCTTGATCTAGCAATTTATAAGTCGTCCAGGTACTTGAAATGGAAGTATACATAGAGAATAGAATATATATTAGAGAAGAATGATTATATATATATCGGTTTACAATTTGCTCATTATTTCGGATTGGTAAAAGTTAAAATATCAAGACACATGAAATAAAAAAAATAAGATTTATAAAATCCATAGCGATGTTTTTGAAAGGGTGTATCGCGTAATTTTAAGTGGAATTTTACATGAGGAAAATTGTAAAAGGAAAACATTGAATTTTACTAAATTTAAAAAATCCAAAACAATTTTTTTGAAACATAGAGAAAATGTTCACAATTGAAAACGATGATGGGCGCGAAGTTTCCTGAAAGCCTGGTTTATTATTATCTAATTAGTTTTTTCTATTTTTCTTTTTTAATATATTTCTCAATTTGGTTTTATTTCTTATTTATCTTTCAATCTATCTATCTCTCTTTCTATCTATCTATCTATCTATCTATCTATCTATCTATCTCTCTTTCTATCTATCTATCTATCTATCTATCTATCTATTATCTATAAATATATATATATATATATATAGATTAGGTGACTCATTTTGCAACATTTTATACAGAATACTTTTAGTATTTCAGAATTTAAAATACATTTAATATTCTAGTATTTAAAATTAAACATTTAGTATTTTAGTATCTAAATTACATTAAATATTTCAGTATTTAAAATACATCTAGTATTTTTAGTATTTAAAAATAATTTCCACATTTCATACTTAAACTGGAAAAAGTATAGTGTCAGGCTACATTTTTATAACAAAATATTAAATATTGAACCCTTACAATTGAAAGTAATTGCAAAGTTTGGTGCAAAACACGGTTTGGAAAATGTTTTGATATTGTAACATTTCACATATTTGAAACAATGATAAGTACTTTTCAATACTTTTGAGAACTGTAAGATTTAAATAATGAAACAATAAAAATGTAAAAAATATATTTTAAGCTGAAAACTTCAGAATAAGATATCCTAAATCACGATCGCTTAATCTGATTATCCAATTTACACACTTTTGATTTTCTTCTTAGAATCCTCTATTTGGTTATTTCTACTGTATAAAAGTTACGTTTGATAACAATCACAGATACAATGCTATAACGATTGGACTAATATCCGATTGAATTAAAGTCAGCTGTTCACAAGCCGGCTTTTAGAGCATTTAAACAAATATAAGTATGTTAATATAAAATTATTAAAAAATATATTTTAGGACTATTCTCAATTTGAATGTTATTCTTATCAAACATTGATCCAAAACTTACACTCGTTCAATCGATGTTTAGTTTAATTGATCAATACCAGAAATCAAAACCAGGTTAAATTGGTTAAATAAACTTCTTTCTTGGATTTCGAATGCGTTTTTAAATAAACTTGTGTTTAGTAAAACCAAGAGTTTAAGCGGTGGTGTATTTTTCGACCTACTCAAATCCACTACACTCCATTTCCGACCTACTAGCACGTGGTTTTACAGCTGCTATATGGACTTGTAGCCGCCGCACCGGCCCCCTAGCCTGTCCTAGCCGCAGTGCTCGGCCCAGAAATTTTCTTGACCTAACCTAACCCTCAAATAATACAAAAATAAACAGCTGGCGTAGGTCCGATATTGCAGTAGGTCGGAACGTTAGTAGGTCGGAAGTTCAGTAGGGAGGATGTTGCGTATAGGCGAGGTAACATTACCGTTTAAGCATTAATCTTGATATCCACCACTCTAAAGTTTTCAGCTCTGCTCTGATATATCAAAATATAACGACAGAACACATTGAAAAATACTAATATTGATATTATTTACAATTTAACAGAAAATGCGGGAAATTTTTTATTAAAAATGGAAGAAACTTGAGTCATCTTTATTTTTTATATTTAAAAGAATAATGTTGAAACAAAAAGTACTTGTGCGTAAAATTAAAACTAGAGGAACTACGAAGTACGAGGTCACAAAGTAATATCCTAAAAGACTAATATAGTACATATATAGTTGTTCACAATTACAAACCAAATGAAGAACTAAAAAGTTTACATAAAGTATAATATATAGATATAGTTTCTAGTCGGAACATATTATCTTCTCTAACTTTAAGTAATTCATGAAGAATGGGTAATTTCCATTCTTGGTCTACATCTACATTTGTGCTACATTTTAACTGATGAAGACTAGCAAATTTTTCACAAACATTAGTCATTAACTGTAGTCCAGATCGACTCAGAGATAATAATATAATTTATAATAAAACTAAGTTTATTATGAATTATAGGTCTAGCCGTTGTATCAGAAACTTCATGTTAAATACTTTTTTGTCTGGATTATTATTCTTACAAGGCAATTATAGAGAATCAGACAAGGAAGAGAGAAGGAAAACAAACGTCTCTAGATTAGGAATAAATTTACAGGGGGCAATACACTAGGAGGAGTTTCAGGTTCTTGGTAAGGAGCAACAAGACAAGTACCATTGAGATGCTTGGCTCCATGATCAGGAGCCTGGGGTAAAGTAACAAGACCGGTAGCAGTGTAATGTTCAGCTCCATGAACAGGAGCATGGGCTACGGTAATAAGACCAGTACCATTGAGATACTTGGTTCCATGAACAGGAGCACTGCAGGGTAGAGATACAAGATCAGTAGAATTGATTTGCCTAGCTCCGTGAACAGGACCATGTGGTGGAGCAACAAGATCAGTAGAATTAAGATGCTTGACTCCATGGACAGGAGCAACAAAGTCAGACACAGTTTTAATTGTAAGCTCTGGTTGAGATGCTATCATATACTGAGGAAATCTTACAAAACTCAGTTGAGTTGAAGAACTATGCCTAGGTTCAACAAGAGGAGTGTCCCATCGAAGGCATCTTAGTTGTGCTGGAGGACCTAGAGGGGCTGGATGAGCTGAAGGAGTTGGATGAGCTGGACCCACAAGTTGAGGCACAGGAAGAGATACAGGCTTGTGTAAAGTTAGAGTTGAAGATTCTTGAAGGGGTAGGACTTTGACGGGACTATGAAGCATGATGCTGAGCCACAATCTAGGTGCCTCCTTATGTTGTCTTAGATAAAGCTTGAAGTAAGATACAACTTTGGGGTTTCTTGAATAAGTGTAGCTGATGAAGGTGTTAATGGCACAAACAAGAAGGCCAGGGACTGGAGATTTTTCTTTATAGTAATTTTGAACTAGAATCAGAACAAGAATGAGACCTACTCCGAGTGCAAAAGTAGAGATCAAACTCTTGATATTGATCAGATGTTTGTACTGTTCGTGTTCTGTAATGATGATATTGCCTCTATGATTCTTTTTGATGTAATATTTGTTAAATTGGAAGGATATGACTAGAAAGGTGAAGGTGATTGACACATTCACCAGATGAATCATTGTTTCTACATTGACCTCTTTGCTTTGATCCAGACCAGTAAGGTATGCAACATGAAGGGTCACATAATCTGAAATGTAAATCTTGAAGGATTTGTGGTTTAAAAATGGGGGGGGGGGTCAATTTCTGTAAATAATTGCACATACATACAAAGATACCAATACCTGGATTCAGAAAGAGAGGAATTAAAACAAAGGGAAGGTATATGATAAGAAGAGAGAAGAGAATTCTTCTAACCGTGTTGCAGGGGTCTAGTTCCATATACCAATCAAACTGAAAGTATATCGAGAATGTTTTCTTTACTATTTCTTCTATCTACATGTAATCAATGCTGGAAATAAAACTGCCAGCTTCACAATGTCTGACTGAATGTACAGTAATACATGTTGAGGAAAAAAAGTACATCACCATTTTAATATTTGTTGTGATGATAAAAATGGAGACCAAAACATCTTTAGTTCAAACTTTTTCATTGCTAAATCAGATTGCACAAGATCTACTGAAGACTTTACAGCAATTTAATCAACCATCCCTGGATATGGTTAATTACCTTAAGAACTGCAATTGTTCTAAAGACTGCCTGGATGAACACAAGTCCACAGGCCACCAGTCCCAGGTACATTATCAGGACCCCTGCCCATTTTGCCAGAAAGAAGGGAAGGTGGGAAACCGCTGATACCCACATACATTCCAGGCACTAAATAGTCATATGTACAACCAGCTTTGTTCAGTTGTATATCTATATTTTATAAACCTTGTCCCTTGCTCTTTACAAATAATGGTTTTCCCTGGATGTTAGGTATGTTTAAGTGGACTGTGGATATAAACCACAAAATTCTGAAATCAGAAGAGTCAGGTAAATCTTTGAAATTAGTTACTCAATCATTAAGCCTAGTTATCTTAAATACTTACATAGATTGTAACTACCCAATTACTGGTTACAATCATGTATCCGTTGATGAGCATGATGAGGCTCCTGTTCACCTCTAGGACAGAGTTGAAATATCTCCTTGTCATCCAGGAGAACAGGTTGGAGAGGCAGAACAGCATCAGGAACACCAGGAACATTATCACACTCAATTCATGTCCTGATTCAGCAGAGTGATCTACCATGCCTACGGAGTGTTCCACTGTGTCTTCAGAGTGTATGACCATGTCTTCGGAGTGTTCAACTATGTCTTTGTAGTGCTCCACTATGTCTTGGGAGTGTTCTATCATGTCTTGGAAGTGTACCACCATGTCTTTGGAATGTTCTCCCATGCCTACGGAGTGTTCTCCCATGTCTATGGAATGTTCTACAGAGTGTTCTACCATGACTTCAGAGTGTTCTACCATGTTTACAGAGTGTTCTACCATGACTTCAGAGTGTTCTACCATGTTTACAGAATGTTCTCCCATGTCTATGGAGTGTTCTCCCATGCCTATGGAATGTTCTACCATGTTTACAGAGTGTCTATAATAGAGATTGTTAGCATGCATACATATTTCTGCAAGAAATTAATATTCAACTTATTTATAATTACAACATAACTTAAGAATATTTGTATGAGGCTGTTGAATTTGACTGCCATTTCTGAAATACTTATTACTCATTCCCCAGTGCTCGTGTTCTCTAACCTAACCTATATAGCATCTATAAGCTGCAGTTACAGAAAAAATAAATGACCTGTGTCCGAATTTAATGAATTTGGTCTGGCGTCTTAAATCCGCGAAAAACCGGTTTTAATTGTGCACCGGCTTAAATCTTGAAACAATGATTATGGTTTTAAGTGGAACCAACCATATTTGAGCTGTGGCTTAAATTTGAGCCGCGACTAAAATTCTTTAAATTCGGCCACAGAACAGTTTAACATGTCAAATACTCTGATCGAATTTTTTAACTAGTCAATTTGATAGAATCTCATATGAATAGAAGGAGAAGCTTAAAGGGACTGTAAGCATAATAAGTGACCCTCCATGCAAAAATGGCAATATCCGATCTACAATGGTACCCTTAAAACCTTAATCTAATCAAAAAAAGTGGAATAACCATCGTTTTTCTTGAAATGTGTTGATTTCTGAGAGTTCTTCCATGGCTTCTTTTAAGCAAGAAATACGCAAATCTTCAGAGAGACCGCAAATGAAAATAAAAAGTTTAAAGAAACAAAATACATATTTATTCCCATACTTGATCAGACAAAGCTTTCGATGGTACTGTTGTAATTCAGGCATTGTCATCTTTGCATGTAAGGTAACTTGAATGTACAGGCCATTACAGTCGATCCCCTTCAATCTTTTATCCGAGCATGGTGATATTTAATTCAAAATCAGAAACATCTTACAGGGAATAATCAAACATACACTTTTAAAGTGTTATAGAGATTATAGCACGAATACATTTAGAAGGACAGAATGTAAAGCAAATTAATTCAAGTCGAAACATTGAAAGTACTCTCAGCATCGAGTCCAACTCTTCAGTACTAAACAATGGAACCTGGAAGCCCTGGCCTTTATAGAACTATTTAACTATGGTAACCTGTCTCTCTCAAAACAATCTCGCATCCAACCCATCAAGAGGCCTCATTTGGAAACCACACACTAGATATAGTGGCGAAGCCTAGTTATAAAATAAAGTATCAGGTTTTCAAATCAAATCAAATTTGATACTAGCTGAAGTGCCCGGCGTTGCCTATGGAATTTTAGAAACCCTTAAAAAAAATTAGAATTTTTAAAAACAAAAAATTCGAATTTTTGAGAGAAAAAAAATCGAATTTTTTTAGCCTATGTTACCGCGGGGTATTTCAGGGTTCCCTAAAAAATATCAACCCATTCGTTCGAGCCGTTTGGCCAGCTAAAGGGAACATTTATATGAATGTATAACACGTGTAAACGTTCTAAAATAGTTTCATATAAAACGAAAATTCGTTCTTTGTACCAAAATAAATGTTTGAAGAATTTTTTTCTAAACTTTAGTGCACGTGGATTTAACGGTTCTGTCAATATTCCAGAAAGCTGTGACTTTCGATCACAATATGACCTATCAAACATAATTTGTAAGCCTTTTACCTTTTATACTTTTTTGTCGGCATATACATATTGAATGAAAATGTATAGAATAAACAAATCCGTCAAGTAAATGATTGTTGAATTATAGATCAAAACACGTTTGATTTCAAATATAAGATACCGAATGCTGCTCACTCTGGTTAGTCCGGGGTTAGTGCTGTGATTTTGAAAGAGTGAAAGCCAATTCTACCAGATTGATGTGAGAAATGGGTCCTTCATAAACTTTACAAATTTTATAAATCTTTAAAAGAAAATGTTCCTGTGGAAACCCTAGACACTAGACAAAAAGTTTTGGACAATCTGCCTCAGGAAAGCTTTGTTGCTTTCAGAGATTACAATTCAGAATATTCTGTGTATTTTGAAATATGTGAACAATCCCTTTAATAAACATAAAATTTTTATATAAATTGAAACAACCTAGCTGACTGCTCCACTGAAATCATGATGGCTTGTAACAAAATTCTTGTTTTATGAAGATTTTTATTTATATTTTTTACAGATACTGTACAGATAAAAACAGTGGTTATGTACACTGTACACTGTGTGTACAAGCTGTATACAGTCACAAATGTGTACACACACTAGGTTTAATATGTACATTGTAACATTACACATGTAATTTATTAAGAATTTATGTAACTCAAAGATCCACACATGGGTATTTGAGCAATAAATACTATTTATTCCAGAAACATTTAATTTTTTGATTTCAACTTTACTTTCCTTTCTGCAATTTTATCTCAAAGTTTTATTGCATAGATTAATAACAATACTAGCTGATAGAACACTAGATGTCGTCTATTCAAGATTCAGAGTTTTTTCGTTCACAATAACCCTGAGGAAGAAGCCCAAAGGTGTTACGCGCAGGCAGCGTTGAATTACAAGACAGCTAGAGAGAGCATGCGCGTATCTCCTTTGAGCTTCTGCCTCAAGGTTATTGTGAACGAAAAAGCCCTAAATCTTGAAAAGACGACATCTAGTGTTCTATCTGTATTGTTATTTATCTTTGTTTCATTGTCTTAGATAAGCTTTACAGAGAGCTTTTGTTATTTTGTTTTGATTGAACCAGGCAATTTAATATCATACTGATTATTTTAGCTTTAATCCTAATTAAGGATTTTTTTGTAAAAGAGATAGCGGAATTCTTTTTATAAGTAATTAGCATTTCTCAAACTTCATTTTAATTAACGTAATTTTAATTGATTAATTTTAAACTCTATGTTCTAAAGAATTAAAGTGACAAATATCTAAAATTGATGTTTCATTGTTTAAATTACAAATAATTTCATTTTATACTTACATATATATATTTATTAATTCATTGTTTTGAATATGATGAGAATCATTGAACTATTGCTTATTCCATTACTAAATAGTTGCACTTTCATGAGATGATAATGATCAACGGATTGATTTTCGGCCCTTTGATTTCCGAAAGATCTCTCTGCTGTCATGTTGTGGTTTTTTTGATTGATTGATTGATCCATTATTTGACGGGAAGCCTCTCGAGGGTTATGAGCTCAACATTGTTGGGAGCCTAGATATTGAAATTTATTAAAATACTATAAAATATATTAACACATTTTGAAATCTATTAAAATATTTTTAAATAATCATGCAGATTGTATTCTTTATACTCAAAAAAAGGCAGACCACATTTTTAATTGTAAAGTCGTCTGAACAATTGTAAATTAATTCCGGGTCTTTCTGATTAGTACTGTATATTTAAAAATATTGAAATATATTGAAAAATATTGTAAACATTGAAAAATATTGTAAAACATTGAAATATATTAAAATGCTTATATATATTTCAATGTATTTTACTATATTTCAATAATTAATGATAAATTTAAATATATTGAGAAATATCAAAATATGTTGTAAGGTATTGAAAGATATAAAAAGAAAACAATATAATTGTCAACCATTAACATTAAGACCCCCCCC